TTGAGCTTGCAACATTTCGAAAATCATACGCAAGCTGACGCCGTTTTCCTCGACGTTATGGGTATCTCGAGCTGCAGACCGAGTGCCACCATGAATGCTATTTTCGGGTTCAGAATGTAGGTTCGCCTCAATGGCCACATGCGAATTGATATCTATCGGCGCTCCGATTCGAGTTCCAACGGCATTGACCAGTGGTCTTTCGGTATTGGGTGTCAAGTTATTGTTCTCATCTTGAAGACCGGTTTCGTTGTCGATTGGTGTGGCCATTTGACTGGTAGTTAGTCGTCGCTAATCCGAAATCTAAGATATTTTCGGAAACAAGCGCAAAACACAATGATGTGTTTTTGCAGATTCGTATCAAATAACCACTGTTATCCTTAGCCCACGGTGGGCGCCAAACTGTTTACCCGAAAAACGGATAGAGTTGAATTTGTACGTAGTTCTAAGGATATGCGGTGTAGCTTAATACGAATCGTAAGGATAAATAGAAATATCAAGTATGGATTGCAAAGAATGCAAAATAGACAAGGTTGTAAAGAAGATGAATTTTAGGACTAAACAAGTGAATTAAATTAAGAAGCTTGAAAGAACAACTCTTCATTATAGGAGAATATGATGCTTGAATTACAATGTAAGCAAAAACTTGTGCCTTACAGAAATGATAATCATCCTCTTTATAGTAGAGGGATCTTACTTCAGATATAATTAAAAATACGTAGTGGGAGACCCATGATTAATCAGCTTTTCCCAATTCCTGCCAAGATTCTCTCCTCTAGTGGGATTGCAACGGCTCTTGTCTATGAGCTCGATATTGACTCGAGTTTTCGGTCTTGACTCGAGCTCTCGATCTTGGCTTGAGCTCGATTCTGACTCGGACTCTTGAATTGATTCGGGGTCAATGTTGGTCGGTCTCTGGATCATAAACTCGACAACTTTACTTTGCATCATAGTTTGATTTGGATTCAAGCTTGATAATGATATCGAGCTCGACATTGATCGGCCCCTCGGACTCGAAGCTTGTTTGTACCATCTTCGGAACCCATCTCGAAGTCTTACTTCGATCGGTTATGTTTCGAACTCGATTAATCGTACTAAGACCGAAATTTATTTCGACCGTATACACAGACACTTGATATTTAGTTAAGATATTGAAGGCGTGCAGCGTGCTACTCCTATCCCCTATAAATGCAAAATAAGGCGAAGCACGGTTTCGGAAGCACTGACTATTGCATCGACCTAGTGTCCATGGTGTATATATGTTTCACAATAATGCGATCCACCCAATAATCATCAAGAGACAACGACAAGCTTACAAAGGCAATATTGTAAGTCCACCTCCGATCAGTAATAGCTTAAGAAAGACAAGACTAGCATGCGCTCCATAGAAACGGAAACAAAAGCAAACTGAACTGCACAGATACATACATACTTTATATGGGCTTAGTGAAATATAGTTTTGCACTAATCAAAACTCAAACATGCCATTTTCACTTCAATCAATTAACCATATCTCAATCTCAAACTAGTTGGTTAGTTACGCTATATAAATCCTCTGTTGTATACTCAGACATCAAACCTTCACTTTTATTGAGCTTGGAACCAACTAAGCTTTCCGAAACTGAGCTGTTATTCTTATTCTTTGCGTTCTATTTTTCTAAGCAGAGAACAAAAAAAACAAGCAATCTCAGGGAACAAAAAGTAAAGTGTGTAGACACGTACCTGCAGCTGTGAAGTGAACTGCTCACATTTCGGCAATCGCAAAAGCTTATGATCTGGAAACGGCGAGGAAGAAGTACGATCAAATCAAATGATGAGCTGCGAAAACCTAAGCGAGGAAGAAAGTGGAAATGAAAATTTCATATGGCCAAGTTTCAGGTACTTGGTTTTAGACTTCCGCGATACTGCTGCATTTTTTTCCCTCTTTCTCACTTTGAATGCTTTTGATGAAGCTGAGCGGACCCCAACTAGTTTTATCCATTTCAGTTTGTTGGAGTTTTGGGTGTAGTTAGACACGTGTAAGTCTCTAGTTGGAAGTTGGTAGGCTTACGTCATTAGATTGACCAGTATTAATTCTAGCGAAGAATCTGTGTGCTCTGCAACTCCACGTAAGCGGATTCTTTCTGGCTTCCAGATTTTATCCCCCTGATAATTAGAGATAATTATTTTTTAAAAATAAAAATCTTGTTAAGAAAGTAAGTTTAATAACAATATGAAACAAGAAAATAAATAAGAATGTAGAAAATAAGTGATGAGAAAGCTTCTTATTTCTTTAAGTGTTTTCCAAGTGTATTATAAAATGACTTCTCATCCTCTATTTATAGTACTACGTAGAGGTATACCAAAAGAATTTCATAAATATGACATTAAGCATTTGAGATCATAGAGGAAGATCATAAGGGGGATTATGGAGTTACGGAAGTTACAACCATAAGTATTGGAGTAGTGAAAGTTATGGAGATAATGGAGAAGAATAGTGAGTATTACTACTTTATGAGTTATGGACATCCACCATTAGATAATTATTTATAATACTCCCCCGTGGATGTCCATAGACTCGTTAAAACCTTACTAGAAAAAAATTCCGTAGAAAAAATATTTTAGTGAAGGAAAAAAATTACACATATCTAGTAAAAATGCATTGCTTGCTGCCTTATTAAAAGCCTTGCCAGAAAAACCAGTGGGATAAAACCTTGGTTAAGGGAAAAAGAGTGCAGCGCGTGCTATACTCCCCCTGACAAAAATATCACTTGATATCTCGGAGATGATGAATTCCAATCTAGTATAACAACTTCTCAATTGACGAGGTCGGCAATGCCTTGTGAAGAAGTTTGCCAAATTATCACTTGAACATATTTGTTAAACATCGATCATGCCTGAAATAGAACTTTGGTGAAATATACTTTATTTTGTCTCTTTCGGTAGTCCTTCTTTCAATTGAGCTATGCATACAATATCGTCTTCAATGTAATTAGAATCTTGTTGAATATCATAATATGACAGTACCCTCACAGACAAATAGATTATCTGAACAACGAACTATGCCCTACATTTGTATAACCAACAAAACCTTGACAATATTTGTTAGAATAAACAAATCTATATCAAGGATTCCTTTTGCAATATAACACTAATCGTATTTCAATATCTCCACATAAGAATAAAACTATATCTTGCAAGAATATTGTTATACTCATGGTTTTAGCAAGATACATTAGTGCACCAATTGCGCTAGATACAAAAACAAATCATGTACGCCATGGTTGCTCTAATCCACATAAGGATTTGCTGAATCTTTTGTATAATAAATTTCTTGGGAATCTTAATATGATTCAGAATAATTTAAATCCTTCAAGGATTTTCATTATACTCATATCAAATGTATTATCCGACCAAAACCTGAAATGACTGTATCCACCACAGGAGAACATGTATCCATATAATCAATGCCAAGCTATTTACAAATCTTCACGTGCGTCGGCTTTATGTCTATCGACTTGATTTTTCATTTAACTTTTCACACAAGAACACATTTATACCTTCACTGACTTTATACTTTCAGGTGGTGGGACTATGCGTCCAACTTTACATTTTTCAGGTGAAGTCAATTTTTATTGTGTATTTTTCATTTGGCCAATTATTTATTTGTCCAAATTCCATGACAGATTTGAGCTCAAGATCCTCGTCAATATTAATAATATTGATCTCTACATTGTATAAACAATATCATCAATGATCATTTTATATCGGTTCCATCATCACACAATAATGACATAACTTATCGAGATCTCATTATTTTCAGGTACCTGAGCCTCTTCCATGAGGTCTTATAAAGTGTTATGTCGTGTATAGCACTTGCCTCTTTATTATGACCATCTTGATCATTTGCTCCTCTCCTTCATCAAGGAGTTTTATCTTTGGAACTGATTAGTCTATTACGCTTTATGCGTGCCATAGACTCCGTCCATCATGGACTTTATTCTATTTGGAGCATTAGCAACTGAAATATAATATTTAGCTTTGGGGCAGCAAATATGCCTGGCAATATTTTGCAAATGAATTATCACTTGAACTTCAAGTTCACATTTTTTGTACGAGGATCTAGGTATACTCATAATAATTCATTCCATGTATTACTTTTCCAGCTGCCCATTTTCTCCCTCTAATGTTGGGATCACCAACGCATAACTCCAACCTTCTCCGGGGACCCATCTTTGTGCATTGTGGTAGAATAATTAAATCATATAGCATATCCATATTTTTATATGAAAATTATTTGGCTTCTGACCCTGAACCAATTGTGATAGGGAGAATTTATTATAACTTATTATACATTACTATCACATTCACTTCAAGAATGGAGCAAATCAAGTGGGACAAACTTCATGCTTTTTCATGAAAAATACATTCTTTTTCTTTAATCATCATTATATTATCAATATGGTGCATTATGACTCAAACTCAATGTCTTACCCATATAAAGATGCGTTAGGCTATAATGTGTTGAGACTCAAACCCAACGTCTTATCATCATAGTGCGCTAGGACTTATCCTCGAGTTTTTAAAAATATTAGCACTTTGTAATTATCTTTGCAAGCCTTATAACAATCATAAAGACCCTGAAATCTAAAGAAGTAAAGAATAATTGCATAGAATAGTTAATGATAGATAGAACAATATTTAATTGCTAAAATATAATTAGTGTACATGTATTAAGAAACTAAGCTCAAAGTAACAATATAAAATAAGAAGATAAGTAATAGAATATAGAAGAAGAGATAATTTTCTTATTTCATCAAGTGTTCAAGTGTGTACAATGTGATGTCCAAACCCTCTATTTATAGGATGATATTGAGGTAATACAAAAAGAAATCATGAATTGGTATTAACTATTGAGATCATGGGGGAAGATCACGGAGGAGGTTATGGAGGTGTACATACCTCATTAAAAGTTTGCTAAAAGAAAAATTAATCATTAAACAGATTGACTTGAGATGCTGTTGATACCCAATTTTGCCCTCATATTTTATAAATATCATATATACTTTCAAAATATCATTTTGCATAATTACCTAATTTACAAGGGTCATATAATTATTTTCTATAATTTTTAAAGCTTTAAAATTAATTTTCTTGCATTTAAATTACTCAAATATTTATTAATTGCTCCTCAAATTATTTGGTGATGACTCAATCATCTAAATTTATTGTTTACACCCACATATATGCTTTATAACATTTTATTTCATTTTATATTAGTACATTTACATCTTTTAACTATTTACGCATTTTTTGCAATAATAGCCTATACTTTACAATTAATTGCGTTTATTATTTTATTTAGGGTCAAAATAACTTCTTTATATTTTTACAACCTTCAGATACTATTTTCTAAAATATTTAGTTGCATAAATTATATTTTTAAATTTATATAGCTATTTTATTAATTTATTCCACTTGCTTTAAAAACCAGCCCAATGTTGAGCCAATTTCGGACCAAAAATAGGCCCAAAACACTTAGCCCTTTCCCACAGCCCAGACCAAATGACCCTTTTAGCCAACCCGATCGCGACCCGTTTAAACAACCCGCCCCGCTCCCCTTTTGATCTTGGTCATTGATCTCAAATGATCAACGACCCAGAATAGCCCTTCCCCTTCCCTTATATCTCTCTAACCAAGCCCTAAAGACCACTCTTCTCTAATCAGCCGCCTCCATACTCTCTCGAACCTTCTCCTCCCTCCTTCAGAAACCCTAGCCGTCTTCACCAACCTTCTCCAAATCCGATTAACTCATGGATTCCTGCCATTATTCACTTATCTTTTATGATTATTTCGTTGTTTTTTTACAAGACTACGATATTACATAGTACTTGCCCCAATTTTGGCAAGTACCAATCTTCCAAATCAAGAGAAATTGGACTCACTCCTCAAGATTTAGATAATTTTTCATCTATATACATTCATGGCAAGATTATATAGGTCTAATTCACTAAGATTCTCCGGCCAATCTGAGATTCTGGGCAGAACTAGGGTTTGCCTGATTTTTCTCCTAATTTGGTTCTAAATCGATTTTACATGCTCTTCTTTCCTTATTTGAGTTTGGTTGATTGTTTTTACATGTTTGTTTTTTTTAAATTAACTACTATATAAACCCCTTCCCCTTATTCCCCTAGGGACAGACCTTAAGAACTATTCTCTTTTATTCTCACTCACTCGATACTATTCTGAATCTATTATTCTTGGCTGGTTGAAAGTCAAAGCTACCGGAATTTGCATTCTCAACCTCCCCAGTGTGAGCACTGCTCGGGACTCATCAGAAGTCCTTGTGAACTCCAGCGCACTAGGATTGGGGTCTTGCTGTCCTCTATTGCTACTGATTTTCGAAGTATTGCTGAAATTTACTCTTCTCCTTTACTTGTTCGTTAGTTTCTACTAGTAAGCATTTGCGACCCTCGCAATTTCATCCCTTTTCTTGTGTTCATGCCTTGTGTATCTATGCCACTTGAGCTTCAGTAAATCAATACGATATTATGTCATCTTTGCTTATAGTTCTTTGTTTTTTTTAAGTTGTCTTGTAGTTCTATACTTTTCTAGCCTTAGAACTTGCCTAAAACTCTAAGTTTGATATACGCCCTCGATTTCTGACTCCCTTAGGTCTACTTAGCCCAATATGTGTATGTGTGTCTGAATTCTTATGCCTACTGTATGTGCTCATCTTGAAAGATTCTCACTACTTTAAGCATGCTTGGCCTAATGTGTTTTATGTGTTACCTGCTACTCTTTCTGAGTTTATCTCACTACTTTGTTCTACATCCTTGGATAGATCAACTCGTATGTTCTAATGTATCTGATACTCTACTAAGACTAATGCTTAACTATGTTGTCAGCCCAAATATGTTATCCTGCTAATTGCGTGCTTTAATGTG